GTGAGTGGGTGAGTGGTAGAGCGAGTTGGTGAGTGGTAGAGCGAGTTGGTGAGTGGTAGAGCGAGTTGGTGAGTGGTAGAGTGAGTGGTAGAGTGAGTTGGTGAGTGGTTGGGTGGTAGAGTTGGTAGGTAGGTGGGTGGGAGAGCGAGTTGGTGAGTGGGTGAGTGGTAGAGTGAATTGGTGAGTGGTAGAGCGAGTTGGTGAGTGGGTGAGTGGTAGAGTGAGTTGGTGAGTGGTAGAGTGATTTGATGAGTGGGTGAGTGGGAGTTGGTGAGTGGGTGAGTGGTAGAGTGAGTTGGTGAGTGGTAGTGAGTTGGTGAGTGGGTGAGTGGGAGTTGGTGAGTGGGTGAGTAGTAGAGTGAGTTGGTGAGTGGGAGAGGGAGTTGGTGAGTGGGTGAGTGGTAGAGTGAGTTGGTGAGTGGGTGAGTGGTAGAGTGAGTTGGTGAGTGGTAGAGTGATTTGATGAGTGGGTGAGTGGGAGTTGGTGAGTGGGTGAGTGGTAGAGTGAGTTGCTGAGTGGGTGAGTGGTAGAGTGAGTTGGTGAGTGGGTGAGTGGGAGTTGGTGAGTGGGTGAGTAGTAGAGCGAGTTGGTGAGTGGGAGAGGGAGTTGGTGAGTGGGTGAGTGGTAGAGTGAGTTGGTGAGTGGGTGAGTGGTAGAGCGAGTTGGTGAGTGGGTGACTGGTAGAGTGAGTTGGTGAGTGGTAGAGTGCGTTGGTGAGTGGTAGAGCGAGTTGGTGAGTGGTAGAGCGAGTTGGTGAGTGGGTGAGTGGTAGAGTGAGTTGGTGAGTGGTAGAGTGAGTTGGTGAGTGGTAGAGTGAGTTGGTGAGTGGTAGAGCGAGTTGGTGGGTTGGTGAGTGGTTGGGTGGTAGAGTTGGTAGGTAGGTGGGAGAGCGAGTTGGTGAGTGGTAGAGTGAGTTGGTGAGTGGTAGAGTGAGTTGGTGAGTGGTAGAGTGATTTGGTGAGTGGTAGAGTGAGTTGGTGAGTGAGTGGTAGAGTGAGTTGGTGAGTGGTAGAGTGAGTGGGTGAGTGGTAGAGTGAGTGGGTGAGTGGTAGAGTGAGTGGGTGAGTGGTAGAGTGAGTGGGTGAGTGGTAGAGTGAGTTGGTGAGTGGTAGAGTGAGTTGGTGATTGGTAGAGTTGGTGAGTGAGTGGTAGAGTGAGTTGGTGAGTGAGTGGTAGAGTGAGTTGGTGAGTGGTAGAGTGAGTTGGTGAGTGGGTGAGTGGTAGAGCGAGTTGGCGAGTGAGTGTTAGAGCGAGTTGGTGAATGGGTGAGTGGTAGAGTGATTTGGTGAGTGGGTGAGTTGGTGAGTGGTAGAGTGAGTTGGTGAGTGGGTGAGTGGTAGAGCGAGTTGGTGAGTGGGTGAGTGGTAGAGCGAGTTGGTGAGTGGTAGAGTGAGTTGGTGAGTGGTAGAGTTGGTGAGTGGTAGAGTGAGTTGGTGAGTGGTAGAGTGAGTTGGTGAGTGAGTGGTAGAGTGAGTTGGTGAGTGAGTGGTAGAGTGAGTTGGTGAGTGGTAGAGTGAGTTGGTGAGTGGGTGAGTGGTAGAGCGAGTTGGCGAGTGGGTGAGTGGTAGAGCGAGTTGGTGAATGGGTGAGTGGTAGAGTGATTTGGTGAGTGGGTGAGTGGTAGAGTTGGTGAGTGGTAGAGTGAGTTGGTAAGTGGGTGAGTGGTAGAGCGAGTTGGTGAGTGGGTGAGTGGTAGAGCGAGTTGGTGAGTGGGTGAGTGGTAGAGTGAGTTGGTGAGTGGTAGAGTGAGTTGGTGAGTGGTAGAGTGAGTTGGTGAGTGGTAGAGTGAGTTGGTGATTGAGTGGTAGAGTGAGTTGGTGAGCGAGTGGTAGAGTGAGTTTGTGGGTGGATGAGTGGGTGAGTAAATGCCTGGGTGGGTGGGTAAGGGAACGAGTGGGTGGGTGAATGGGTAGATGAGTGAACAAGCGGGTGGATGACATGGCCATTATGAACCCAGACTCATACGGCACCGACAGATCGAAGACACAAACCACAAGTCGGCAACGTTATTTCACGTCCTGGTGACTTTTTAACTGATAATAACAATATACTTACAATAATCACAATATATTGACGATATTAACAATATGCTTACAATAGTAATATATTTACAATAATAACAATATACAAAATGATGACTATGTACAACGCTATACATTTTGATCTAAAGCTTTCGTGACTCGCAGGGATTCATATTCTTGGTTCTTTCGGTAAAGTCACCACCACGTAGAAGGGAAACAGTAAAATAATTAAAAAATATAAACCAATAAAATTATTGTAAAACACTAAAATTATTATTCTTGGTTCTTTCGGTAAAGTCACCACCACGTAGAAGGGAAACAATAAAATAATTAAAAAATATAAAACAATAAAATTATTGTAAAACACAAATTATTATTCTTGGTTCTATCGGTAAAGTCACCACGCAGAAGGGAAACAATAAAATAATAAAAATATAAAAAATAAAATTCTCACGACGTTTCGACTGCAACACAAGCAGCAATCATCATCAGCTGTGAAAACCACAAATTTTTCTTGCTGTGGTTTTCACACCTGATGATGATTGCTGCTTGTGTTGCAGTCGAAACGTCGCGAGAATTTTATTGTTTTATATTTTAATTTTATTGCTTCCCTTCTAGTGGTGACTTTACCCAAAGAACCAAGAATATGAACGCTATACATTATTAAATCATTACTTTTTTTTTTAAAACACACACACACCACGTGGTGGGCCTAGGCTAGGCTTCTAGCCCCAGTGCCTGTACCAGGCCTCCCTCTCCCCGCTCCCCATGTCCTGGGAACTGTGTGACGAGGTTACTCCCTCCCTCGTCTTTCTTTTGAGGACTGCCACCGGATAAAAACCAACATGGGTTGGAGTCTGGGGTAAGGGTGGGCGCGCCGCCCTGGCTAGGCCACTGGGCTGAGTGTGGGTGAATGTGTGGCGAGTTTGTAGAGTGAGCGAGTGAGTGTGGGGTGAGCGAGTGGCAAGTGCAGTGAGCGTGGGCTGTGTCCAGTCCATGTCTGGTGTCCGCTCTCGAGTCGTCTGTTACAGCTGCTCCCCACGGGAGTGTGTGTGGTGAGTGTGAGTGAGTGCTAAGTGTGTAGTGCGTGTGTGGTAAGCGTGTGAGCGTGTATATAGTAAGTGTGTGGCGAGTGTGTATATGGTGAGTGTGTGGTGAGTGTGTGTATATAGTGAGTGTGTGGTGAGTGAGTATACAGTGTGTGTGAGTGTGTGGTGAGTTTGTATAGTGTGTGTGAGTGTGTATATAGTATGTGAGTGTGTGGTGAGTATACAGTGAGTGTGTGTGGTGTATATAGTGAGTGTGTGAGTGGGTGAGTGAGTGGTGAGTGTGTGTGTGGTGAGTGTGGGTATATAGTGTGTGTGGTGTATATAGTGAGTGAGTGGTGAGTGTGTGTGTGGTGAGTGTGGGTATAGAGAGTGTGTGTGTGGTGAGTGTGAGTATACAGTGAGGGAAAACAAATATTTGATCCCCTGCTGATTTTGTACGTTAAGGTCCTGTAGTTGCCTAGCCAGTCTCCAGACCTTAATCCCATAGAAAATCTGTGGAGGGAGCCGAAGGTTCGAGTTGCCAAACGTCAGCCTCGAAAACCTTAATGACTTGGAGAAGATCTGCAAAGAGGAGTGGGACAAAATCCCTCCTGAGATGTGTGCAAACCTGGTGACCAACTACAAGAAACGTCTGACCTCTGTGATTGCCAACAAGGGTTTTGCCACCAAGTACTAAGTCGTGTTTTGCAGAGGGGTCAAATGCTTATTTCCCTCATTAAAATGCAAATCAATTTATAACATTTTTGACATGCGTTTTTCTGGATTTTTGTTGTTGTTATTCTGTCTCTCACTGTTCAAATAAACCTACCATTAAAATTATAGACTGATCATTCTTTTGTCAGTGGGCAAACGTACAAAATCAGCAGGGGATCAAATACTTTTTTCCCTTCACTGTATAGCGAGTGTGTGAGTGTGTGGTGAGTGTGTGGTGTGTATATAGCGAGTGTGTGGTGAGTGTGTGTGGTGAGTGTGTGAGTGAGTGTGTGGTGAGTGTGAGTATATAGTGTGTGGTAAGCGTGTGAGTGTGTGTGTATACAGCGAGTGTGTGGTGAGTGTGTGAGTGAGTGTATTTAGTGTGTGAGTGAGTGTGTGGCGAGTGCGAGTATATAGTGAGTGTGTGGTAAGCGTGTGGGTAAGCGTGTATATAGTGAGTGTGTGTGTGGTGAGTGTATATAGCGAGTGTGTGTGGTGAGTGTATATAGTGGGTGAGTGTGTGCGAGTGAGTAAGCGTGCGTATAGTGAGTGTGTGTGGTGAGTGTATATAGTGAGTGTGTGTGGTGAGTGTATATAGTGAGTGTGTGTGGTGAGTATATATAGTGAGTGTGTGTGGTGAGTGTGAGTATATAGTGTGTGGTAAGCGTGTGAGTGAGTGTGTGTATAGTGAGTGTGTGTGTGTGGTGAGTGTGTGTGTGGTGAGTGTATATAGTGAGTGTGTGTGTGGTGAGTGTGTGTATATAATGAGTGTGTGGTGAGTGTGAGTATATAGTGTGTGGTAAGCGTGTGAGTGAGCGTGTGTATAGTGAGTGTGTGTATAGTGAGTGTGTGTGTGGTGAGTGTGTGTATAGAATGAGTGTGTGGTGAGTATATAGTGTGTGGTAAGTGTGTGAGTGAGCGTGTGTATAGTGAGTGTGTGTGGTGAGTGTGTACAGTGAGTGTGTGTGTGTTATTATGACCGAGACGACTGGCTGATGCACCACCTGTGCCCCCCTACTGTGCCAACCCGCTGTGCTTCAGCCACCCCGGCGCGCTCCGCTCGTTGTCGTCATCTCAGTCAGTCGACCCGTGGCACCCTGCTGGGTCTGCCCCGTGGACCTCCTGCCAGCGGGCGTTCGACGCATCACGTGATAGCCTCAAGGTTGCACGTGGCCCGGCACAAGCGTCGTGGCGACGTCACCGCCACTTAGTGGCGAATGGCGGTTGTTGTTGTTGTTGTCGTCGTGTTATCATGGGGTAGGTGGCTGGCTGGGTGGTGCTGCTCGTGGTGGTTGGCACCGACTGTGCCGTGGGCCGGGCACCACAGCAGCAGGCGACGGAGGAGCGAGCGGAGTGAGCGGAGTGGGCGGAGCGCCCCACCCTAGCCAGGCCTCCACGCTTCCTCTTCGCCTGCGGCTGATGCTGCTGCTGCTCCTCTTCCCTCTTGTACACCTCCTTCGTAATCTCAAACTCCTTCGTGTCCTCCTCCTCCTCCACATAGACCTCCTGCGTACCAGGCGAGGTAGTTAACATCTCCACGGGGAAAGAGAGAGAGAAATGGAGACTCCACATAGACCTCCTGCGTACCAGGCGAGGTAGTTAACATCTCCACGGGGAAAGAGAGAGATGCAGACTCCACAGACCTCCTGTGTACCAGGCGAGGTAGTTAACATTTCCACGGGGAAAGAGAGAGATGCAGACTCCACATAGACCTCCTGCGTACCAGGCGAGGTAGTCAACATCTCCACGGGGAAAGAGAGATGCAGACTTCACACAGACCTCCTGTGTACCAGGCGAGGTAGTTAACATCTCCACGGGGAAAGAGAGATGCAGACTCCATATAGACCTCCTGTGTACCAGGCGAGGTAGTTAACACCTCCATGGGCAAAGAGAGATGCAGACGCCACATAGATCTCCTGCGTACCAGGCGAGGTAGTTAACATCTCCTAGCCACTGTGATAATGATGATGATGAGAGAGATGCAGACTCCAAATATACAGCAGCAGCAGACATCATCAGGGTCGGGATCGAACCCACGACCTCCTGCGTACCAGGCGAGGTAGTTAACATCTCCATGGGGAAAGAGAGAGAGATGCAGACTCCACATAGACCTCCTGCGTACCAGGCGAGGTAGTTTACATCTCCACGGGGAAAGAGAGAGAGATGCAGACTCCACATAGACCTCCTGTGTACCAGGCGAGGTAGTTAACATCTCCACGGGGAAAGAGAGAGAGAGATGCAGACTCCACACATACCTCCTGTGTACCAGGCAAGGTAATTAACATCTCCACGGGGAAAGAGAGATGCAGACTCCACATAGACCTCCTGCGTACCAGGCGAGGAAGTCAACATCTCCTAGCCACTGTGATAATGATGATGATGAGAGAGAGATGCAGACTCCAAATATACAGCAGCAGCAGACATCGTCAGGGGTCAGGATCGAACCCACGACCTCCTGCGTACCAGGCGAGGTAGTTAACATCTCCACGGGGAAAGAGAGAGAGATGCAGACTCCACATAGACCTCCTGCGTACCAAGCGAGGTAGTCAACATCTCAGCCCTGTCCCGAGCACACAGAGGGAGTCTCACCGTAGCTCGGTAGCTCTACAATCCTGCACAGCGCCAGCAGTGGTAGAGCGGTGGCCACGGTGGTGGTGGCCGAGCTGGTGGTGGTGGTGGCCGAGCTGGTGGTGGTGGTGGCTGAGCTGGTGGTTGTGGTGGCCGAGCTGGTGGTTGTGGTGGCCGAGCTGGTGGTGGTGGTGGCCGAGCTGGTGGTGGCCGAGCTGGTGGTGGTGGTGGCCGAGCTGGTGGTCGAGCTGGTGGTGGTGGCCGAGCTGGTGGTGGTGGTGGTGGCCGAGCCGGTGGTGGTGGTGGCCGAGCTGGTGGTAGTGGTGGTGGCCTCGGTCTGGAGCCAGCTGTGACCCAGCGGCTGATCCGGAGGAGTCACTCGCAGTTGCGGATCCCCTTCTGGGGGTGGGGGGACACGCGGGGGGGGGGGGGGGGGGGGGGGGGGGGGGGGAGAGGGGAGGAGCGGTGGTGCAGCGGTTAGCGCTCCGCTGAGCCACTACGAGCCCGGCAGAGACCCGAGTTGGATTCCCGCTCACGGCCACCAACACCGCCGGCAATGGATGGCGGAGAATTATCCGAACCCGGTACCTGGGCCTCCTGCCCTAGGTAGACTCGGCCTCAAAATGAGTGCCCTGGTGTAGCGGTGGTGTGTGGTAAAGATCGCCACTGGGGAGACAAAGGCGGCCGGGCGTGGGCGTTGGCCACCCACCCCCCTCGTGTGCCAGTAGCCTTCATTAGGCGCTGCTACTCGCTACTAACAGCACTTGCCCCTGCAGCCTGTTACCAGGCTACACGGGGGCAGATTTTCTCTTGCCTCTTTCGGTAAAGTCGCGTGGATAGAAGCAGAATAATTAAAATAAATAAATGATAATAATCAAATACAAATTTAAATAATGTAGACTGTAGCCTGGTTCTTAATCTAAGTGAGTGTACTGGCAGTCTATAGTGTAGACTGTAGCCTGGTTATTAATCGGAGTGTATTGAAAGTCTATAATGTAGACTGTAGCTTGGTTATTAAGCTGAGTGAGTGTACTGGCAGTCTATAGTGTAGACTGTAGCCTGGTTATTAATCTAAGTGAGTGTACTGGCAGTCTATAGTGTAGACTGTAGCCTGGTTCTTAATCTAAGTGAGTGTACTGGCAGTCTATAATGTAGGCTGTAGCCTGGTTCTTAATCTGAGTGAGTGTACTGGCAGTCTATAATGTAGACTTATTTTTGGTTTTCAGTAATAAAAATAATTTAAAAAACCACGACGTTTTGATCACAACACAAGCGATCGTCAGGAGGAAAGCGATCTTTGTGTCTGTGTGTGGTGCGATGTGGTGTGTGTGTGTGTGGTGCGTACGTGGTGTGTGTGTGTGGTGCGATGTGGTGTGGTGTGTGTGGTGCGATGTGGTGTGTGTGGTGCGATGTGGTGTGTGTGTGTGGTGCGATCGTGGTGTGTGTGTGTGGTGCGTACGTGGTGTGTGTGTGGTGCGATGTGGTGTGTGTGTGTGGTGCGTACGTGGTGCGTACGTGGTGTGTGTGTGTGGTGCGTACGTGGTGTGTGTGTGTGGTGCGTACGTGGTGTGTGTGTGTATGGTGCGTACGTGGTGTGTGTGTGTGTGGTGCGTACGTGGTGTGTGTGTGTGGTGCGTACGTGGTGTGTGTGTGTGGTGTGCGTACGTGGTGTGTGTGTGTGTGTGGTGCGTACGGTGTGTGCGAGTTTGTTCTCACCGTAGGCAGCATTTGCCGAGGCTCACGAGCAGTGCCCCTCATCCCCGCAGCACGTGATGCGGGGGGCGGGGGGGGGGACGCTGACCGGGATACGCGTCTTGGACGGCCAACCAGAATGAGTCTGCAGGAGAGAGACAGAGAGAGACTCTGGGTGTCTCTCTGTCTGTCTGTGCGTGTCTCTATGTCTGTCTGTGCATGTCTGTCTGTCTGTGCGTGTCTGTCTGTCTGTGCGTGTCTGTCTGTCTGTGTCTGTGCGTGTCTGTCTGTCTGTGTCTGTCTGTCTGTCTGTGCGTGTTTGTCTGTGCGTGTCTGTCTGTCTGTGCGTGTCTGTCTGTCTGTGCGTGTCTCCTTGAGCCTCACCAGGGATGTCATTGTGCGTGTCTGTCTGTAAGTGTCTGTCTGTCTGTGGGTGTCTGTGCGTGTCTGTCTGTGTCTGTGCGTGTCTGTCTGTCTGTGTCTGTGCGTGTCTGTCCGTCTGTGTCTGTGCGTGTCTGTCTGTGTCTGTGCGTGTCTGTCCGTCTGTGTCTGTGCGTGTCTGTCCGTCTGTGTCTGTGCGTGTCTGTCCGTCTGTGTCTGTGCGTGTCTGTCCGTCTGTGTCTGTGCGTGTCTGTGCGTGTCTGTTTGTGCGTGTCTGTCTGTTTGTGCGTGTCTGTCTGTTTGTGCGTGTCTGTCTGTGTCTGTGCGTGTCTGTCTGTGTCTGTGCGTGTCTGTCTGTGTCTGTGCGTGTCTGTCTGTGTCTGTGCGTGTCTGTCTGTGTCTGTGCGTGTCTGTCTGTGTCTGTGCGTGTCTGTCTGTGCGTGTCTGTCTGTGCGTGTCTGTCTGTGCGTGTCTGTCTGTGCGTGTCTGTCTGTGCGTGTCTGTCTGTGCGTGTCTGTCTGTGCGTGTCTGTCTGTGCGTGTCTGTCTGTCTGTGCGTGTCTGTCTGTCTGTGTCTGTCTGTGCGTGTCTGTCTGTCTTGCCCTATATGACATCATAACAACAGTCTGGACCACTGGACGGGTTCCGCAGGATTGGAAGGATGCCCTGGTGGTCCCCCTTTTTAAGAAGGGGGACCGCACAGACTAACAACTACAGGGGCATCTCACTCCTCAGTGTGCCGGGAAAGGTCCTGGCAAGGATTATTCAGCATCGCCTTGCCAGGCACGCTGAGGAGAGGCTTGCGGAGCCCCAATGCGGTTTCAGGAAAGGGCGGTCCTGCACCGATGCCATATTTTCTGTCCGTCTGCTCCAGCAGAGGTGTAGGGAATTCCAACAAGACCTACATCTCTGCTTTATTGACCTGGTCAAGGCCTATGATACCATCAGTAGGCCTGGGCTCTGGGTTGTTTTTACCCGGGCCCCCCCGAGCGGGCCCGGGTAAAACTACGTGGCCGGGAGTCAGAGCCATTCCCTGTACACCTTGGGGTGCGACAGGGATGTCCTCTGGCTCCCACATTATTTAACATCTATTTTGACCACGTAGTTCGTGAAGCCTTCAATAGCTGTACCGGGAGAATCTCCATATGGTACAGATATAATGGGAGGCTGATCGATGCCCGGGTGCGGTCAAGGGATGGCTCCCTATTGCTCAACCACGTTATGTATGCTGATGATTTGGTAATAGTTGCTCAGTCAGAGGAGGAGTTGGAGACGCTGCTGCTGAGACTGGAGCGTGCCACTAGGAGGTGGGGCCTTACCATCAGCCCCACCAAAACTAAGCACCTGCCTGGGTATTTTGTACCATCGGACACTACACCCCCACAACTCCCAATCGGTGATGGGGCAGTTGTGGAGAGAGTGGAGAGTTTCCCATACCTGGGCAGTGTGCTTATGACTGGCTCCAGTTTAACAGCAGAGGTCTCACTCCGAATCAGTCGAGCGGCAATATCTTTTCATCGGTTGCGTAACGCTGTGTGGAAGCTACCTGGTCTGTCGCTCCGCACTAAGCTTCAGGTCTTCTCGGCCACGGTCATTCCCTCCCTTCTCTACGCTTGCGAAACGTGGACCCCCCTAATGGAACATCTTCGCCGGTTAGAAACATTTAGGCTGGCCTGCCTACGATCCATCCTGGGTTTAACCAGACTGGATTGTGCGAGCTCACAAATCCTTGAAAGATCTGGGCAAGGTCCCATCGGTGAGCTCCTCCGGCGGGCAAGGCTGCGATGGCTGGGTCATGTAGCCCGCATGCCCAGCCACCGCATGCCGAAACAGCTTTTGTTCGGCCGGATCGAGGGGGCTAAGTGGGCGCGGCACGGACTAGAGAAGAGATGGAGTGATGTGGTACAGGAGGACGTGGAGCTGAGTGGACTTGCCGATGACTGGTACCAGCGGTGTCAAGATCGGCTTCTGTGGAGGAGGCTCGTGAAGGATGCTACTGGGCAGTTGGAGGTAGTCGCCCTCCAACAACAACGGAGGGCGGAGGAGCGACGCTCAGAACAACGAGCGGAGCGCCGGGTGGCTAAAGCACAGCAGGTTGGCACAGTAGGGGGCACAGGTGGTGCATCAGCCAGTCATCTCAGTTAGTCGACCCGTGGCACCTGGGTCTGCCCCGTGACCTCCTGCCAGCGGGCGTTCGACACTTCACGTGGCCTCAGGGTGCACATAGCCTGGCACAAGCGTCGTGGTGACGTCACCGCCACTTAGTGGTGAATGGCGGTTGTTGTTGTGCATGTCTTCGTGAGTCTCACAGGGATGTAGTCTGTGGGTGTCTCTGTGCATGTCTCCGTGAGCCTCACAGGGATGTAGTCTGTGGGTGTCTCTGTGGGTGTCTCTGTGGGTGTCTCTGTGGGTGTCTCTGTGGGTGTCTCTGTGGGTGTCTCTGTGGGTGTCTCTGTGGGTGTCTCTGTGGGTGTCTCTGTGGGTGTCTCTGTGGGTGTCTCTGTGGGTCTCCGTGAGCCTCACAGGGATGTAGTCTGTGGGTGTCTCTGTGGGTGTCTGTGGGTCTCCGTGAGCCTCACAGGGATGTAGTCTGTGGGTGTCTCTGTGGGTGTCTGTGGGTCTCCGTGAGCCTCACAGGGATGTAGTCTGTGGGTCTCACAGGGATGTAGTCTATGGGTGTCTCTGTGGGTCTCTATGGGTGTCTGTGGGTCTCTATGGGTGTCTCTGTGCATGTCTCCGTGAGCCTCACAGGGATGTAGTCTGTGGGTGTCTCTGTGGGTGTCTCCGCGAGCCTCACAGGGATGTAGTCTGTGGGTGTCTCTGTGGGTGTAGTTTTTCTCACCGTCGTCGAACCCGCGGTTCCCGATGTCCCCCTGGCGACGCTCCCCTCCTCGCCCAGAGCGACGAACCAAGTCTCGTCCATCGTGGCCAGCTCAAGCGAGGTTCAAATCAAAACGCAGGGATGGCTGCACACGTGACAACACCATCAACAAATCATTCGTACGCGCACACACACACCGGGTTAAGGCACCACATCCACCCCCCCCG